CTGGAAGGTGGAGCCCAAGATTTCCTCCAAGGCTTTGGCACTCTCAGTTTGTTTTCTGAGTCCCCACGTTCTGTATATTTACAGCAGAGAACCTGCAGAGCTACAGGAGCTCAACAAAGAGACCTCCTTAGCAGCTGGGGTACACCTCAGTGTAAGGAGTTGGAGAGCTGAAAGGCAGATTTGTTACCACGCAGTGTTCCCTGGGAAGCTGGAAATCAATTGTATCGGGGTGTGCCTTTGAATCAGACAGCAGCAATCATTTCACCAAATGTGTTTGCCTCACTAAGCACTACCAGTCCAGGATAAAGCTTCTAAAGGACACTGTGTTGTCCACCAATAGAGAAGAGTCCCTCAATGTCTGCACTAAATCACCAGGAAAACAAGCTAAGCCTCAAATCCTTATTACATGGAAGGGTAGAACTCATTTCCAGATGAGTTTTGTGCCCTTTCTTTCCTTCCATGGTCATTCCTTTATTTTCTTTTTCAACTTGGGTCCTGGTTTTAGCTCTAGATTTTGATAGAGACCAATTGCATCTGATTTTCATGGGGATGACACGTCTGCAAGTCATCTTACAGGTAGTGTGGGATCTTGGGGCAGATCTGTGAAGCTGTGGTTTTTGGCTCTTCTAAACCCACAGTCTTGGGCTTTCCATGTACAGGGCATTCCAGAGCAGCAGGACAGGCTTCCAGTGATAGAGGTGAACTTTCCAGCATTTTTTGGCATTAGCTGTAGAGAACATTCAGGGGCTCTGCATACATGTGCAAGCAAAGCTAGAGCAGCTGCTGTTGTGATGTCACTGCAACTGTTGTCCTGGTGCACGGACCGTTGTCCTGGTGCATGGAATGTTGTCCTGGTGCACGGACCATTGTCCTCGTGCACGGGAGCCTTCGTGTGCACAGCGTGTTTGGCGTGTTCGTTGCAGGAGGGTGCTCTTCATCGAGGCACTCACCTCCAGCAGGCTGCACTTGGACACCAGGGGTGTCCTTTTCTCCCTCGGCGTGCACAGGCTGCAGAATTCTTGCCCAGCATGGCTAAAGTGTTCCGGCGAGTCTGTGCCGCCTTCCGCCGGGTTTTTCCTATGGCCTGTGCTTTTGGTTCCCGCCCAGACAAACCCGGGCTGCTGACCCATCTAGCAAGTAAGTAGAGGTTTTTTCTAGGTGCAGCCAACCTGGCTTTTGGATCGATGTGTTGTTTATGCTGCCCCTTAGTGACTGCGTTGCCTTTGCAACCAAAATGCCCCGCAGATCCCATGACTTTGGTAAAGCTCATGTCAGGGGCATCAGCTCCAAAGGGGGTGTCTCCAGTCATTCCAGGGGCTCTGGGCAGCATTTGTAATTGAACCCACAGGGTTCTGTTCCCTACGCGGGCTAGTCCGTGGCACTGGAGTCTGTAATTTCCTCATTTGCTGCTTCAGCCCATACAACTTCCCAAATGCAGATTGGCAGAGCTCCTCAGAAGTGCCTCTAAAGACTGTGCAGTTCTCTCCAGTTTGCCCTACATTGCATCATTAATAGGTTGGACGGTGTGACCTGCCACAATGTTTGCTCCAATAGCTCTTGCTTTGGTGATGAAATGCAAAGTTGAAGGCAGTGTGTGCTCCCAAACTTGGGAGCTGTTTGTGTGCTGTGTCAGAATAGAAGTGTCATGACTAAGGGGAAGTTGGGGGCAGCTTTATTGGGAAAAGGAAAGCCAAGAAGAGAAAGGAAGAGGAAAAGGAAAAGAAAAAGGAAAAGAAAAAGAAGAAAGGGAGGGAGATGGGGAGGGGGAGTGGGGGGGGGAAGGGGCGGGTCAGGAGATAGGGAAGGGGGTGGGGCAAGGTTGTAAGGGGTGGGGCAAGGGGCAGGGGGAGGGGCGGGGTGCGGGGCGTGGTGAGGGGTGGGGCGAGGGGCGGGGCACGGGGCGGGGCAAAGGGCGGGGCAAAGGGTAGGGTGAGGCAAGGCAAGGCGGGGCAGGGTGGGGCGGGGTGAGGCGGGGCGAGGAGAGGACAGCTGTTTTAGCTCTTGGGCAGAACAGAATCAATGACTCTCAAAGGACAGTGTGCCTTTTCTTGACCAAGTGTCTGTGTATTTGATTTAGAAAAAGAAAAATAGAAACTGCCCTGGCAAAACAGGGCAGAAAACTAGGCCCAAGAAGCTGTAGCAAAAGAACAGCCTGGTATATTGTGCTCTTCTCTTGCTCGCTGTGCGAAAGAACTGTGCTACTGAAGGGGATGTTGTGAAAGAAAAATGCTCTCCATTTGGGTTGACTTTTTCCATGGGATTCCCCACAACAGCCAGTTTTCTAACATCTGCTTCATTTCCCTTTCCCCATTGCAGGTGTGTTTAGAAACAGAAGAGGCCATCCTTTGGTGAGTGACAAAGTAACCTTTGGTGTTCCCAGCCTTTCAGAATTGTGCAGCAAGCCGTGACCTCCAGGCTTGTTGCAACTGACTGCCAGCCCTCCAGGCAGAAAGAAAGTCTTCTTCAGTGTCTTTGCAGCAGTAGAAAAGGGTTCCCTGGCTCTTTTTTATTTTGCTCTTGGAGGCCTTTGAAGTAGATGACAGTCTGGTTTTGCAGACAGAAAGTTTCTTGCTGCTTTTAGCCATGGGGGAACAACAGCAGTTCACAACAATATGCAGTGCTGCCTAATTAGCTCCCTTGAATTTAGTTGGAGCAACTTACAATCCCCTTGCTATCAAAGGTTATGATTTCTCCTTAGGACAGCTGGATAGATAGCTGCATGTAAAAAAGGTTCTACATGATAAGGAACTCCCTGTTGCTCACGCTGCTGTCTGTCCACACAGAGGAAACCACCCGGAGCTGACCCTCCTCAGGCTCCTTCTCTTCCTTCGCTTTATGAGGATCCAGAGGAGGAAGACAACAACGAAGCTCCACCTGTTGTTGGACCAGAGCCTGAACATCCAAAATCTGTAAGAGCCAGCTTTGCTTCGCACTCTCACTAGTGTAATTCAGAGCTGCCTGTTTCAGACCAGACAGCACTTGCCCCTCATGGCTGAAGATCCTGAGGGCTGGAGTCCTACCATAACAAGGTGTTTCCTCCCCCTCAGCCACTGACACCTGAAAAACGGGTTCTGAACTTTCAAGTTCAGTCATCGTTTTCCTGGCATTCTGACAGGGACCGTGAGTTTCTCTCTGTATGGCATGAGAGGTAGCCTTGTGTCTGTAAAAGGGGAGAAACTTGGCCCACAGTGCCTGTGCAGCCTCCCTGTCACCAGCGGAGCCAGCGCTCCAAAGGCACAGTTCACAGCCTGGCTGCGTGTGGATACCTAGGAGAAACTGTCCAATGGAGGTTCCTGCCCTCCTCCACGGACTATCTAAGTAGCTCAATGGACACTTTAAACTACACCCATAACTTTTACATGACCAAAGTTGGCTGAGAAGAGTCCTACGCAGCTCGGCCATGGCAAGACAAGGTCGGTCTCTGAGAAGGGCTGGAACTTAACGGCTGTTCCCTAAAGCTGGAAATACTGATGAGAAGTATCTCTGCAAACCTCCTTTCTGACACAAACTGATTTCTTGTCACAGACCAATACATGCTCTGGAACCAAATCTTCCACTGCCCTGGAAGCCGCTGCACTGGAAGCCGCTGACAAAGACAACACTCCCACACCTGAGATCTCCTACAGGAGCACTTCCAGCAGTTCCTC